GGGGGGGGGGGGGGGCCGTTGATTAATCCGACGTCGACATTACACCAAGTCAGGAGAACCTAAAATATGATGGCAAATTCGTAAGTTAGCTCTAGACTCTAAACCAAATCCTTCAGTCCCTCTCTATAATAACATTCTCTATCCACATCTGGCCCAGTCGAACATGACTAATTCCGCGCAATACAGTTTCAGGATGTTTCAGGCTCGTTTCTTGAAAACCACTTGACGGACATTGGCTTTAAAGGGAACCGTTGCCCACCGCAACCCCGCGTCCGGGCTTGTCTCGGCGCATTGATCGTGCGTGTCTCCTTACATGCGGCGGCACAAGAGCTTGCAGTCCAACTCTCAGGCTTCAACCTGCGCGTTGAGCTCGGCGCGACAAAGTGTTGAGCTCGGGCCGTTCCACCGAAGCGATGATGAGTTGAACAGGGGAAGCATCATGAGTTGGGGTAGTATGAACACATGCCAACATATGATCAGAGGTGTCAACTGACTAGGAAATCAGCAAAAAGTGCAACGACTACGACATTGCTGTTCCACACCCACCTTCACTGTTGCTCCCCAGCCTGCGATGAGACATCACCTGTGGGACATGGACTGCGCGAGCGAAAGAGACATGGGGCAACGACAGCCATCCAACAAATGAAGCCAAACGCTACATGTCGCATTCCAGGCTTGATCTCGTTCAAGCTATAACAGCTTCTCCTTTATGCATTAAAAATGCCGGGAACATGCAAAATAAGCCAACCTCGGTCATGCAAACCTCTGGATTCTCTCTACGCTTGCAATACATCTCGAACTAATTTCCATGGATTTGCACAACATATCCGAGCTGATCCAAGCCTGCAGGATCTCCATGGCCAACGGCCAGTCTCGATCTACCACACCTGGGCCACTGAGAATTTGTGGCAAACATCAACCTTCTGCAGAGCCTCTCCCGTGCGATACCCGCAAAATCCAGGGTTTCTGTGAAAACTGTGTCAAAGTCCAACGGGTGGTTTGACACGGCTACTTTCGATGCGAAGATCCTCCCCTTTCATGCGAAAACATGGAGCTTTCATGAGATTTCGATCCGGCCGGATTCCTTGAACGCCGGCCATGTGGGTCTTGGAGGCCGGTGGCACATCGAGCCGACATCTAATGCGAACGTCCGTTTTGGGGCAAGAAGAGTTTTCCGGTATATCACAGTGATCCTTGGATGATTCCCCTCAGAGCAGCAGTTTTATTCAAGTTGTTGTTGGTAGAGTCAAGTGGCCCCACCAAAACGGTGGTGTTCAGCGAACCTCCCAAGTGGGAAGCGACCGCTCCCTCTCAGCTGAGCGACGGATCAAGCCGTTGAAGCCTCAGAACTGACCCGGCTGAAGAAGTGAAAAAGCCGAGTCACGAACTTGTGGCACGTGTCAAGTCTTCCTCATATTATCCACCAGGCCCCCACCACAGAGAAAAAGAATGGTCAAACATGCATGGCAGATCAATGGAATTTGAATTCATCATCCTCCGGTCTTGTAATTCATCATCCCATAGTACAACTGCTAGAAGGAGGAGATACAGTAGTCTTCCTGCCTCCATCTGGAGACCTCGCCACAGGACTCCACTGAATATCAGCTCAGCTCTCTTCGCCTAGCCGCAGATGGTGTTCGACGCAGGCAGCTGACCTTGGAGCGCACCAACGAAGACGGTGCCCACCGATGTTCACGTGGAACATTTGGAGGAAAAAGAGATCACATCAATCACATCTAACTGAGCAGTAGGTGAAGAGAAGATGATATCTTGGGTCGTCGATGCTGGCTTTTCATCTCCACAGTAAGGCAACCGATCAAAGGTCGACGTCCACAGCGGTGGAAGGATGGAGATGAGTTCGAGATGAGTTCGACATACGGCTCAAGCACCCAACACGTGCATCCAGCACCATTCAGGTACCGTATCATCAGTGTAATTTACCAAGGAGTGCATCCACCAGCATCCAACACCACTCTCCTCCCCCGTTTCTTTTCTTGATCTCCCATCTCAAGTCCCACACTTAGGAGGCCCAGGGCTTTGGGCCAGCTGTTGCAGGCACTGCAGAGGTGGGTGAAGCCTCAGTATCGAGTCGGTATGGCTTAGACGAGCACAAGGGTCGTCGCCAGGTGGAGTGATAGATCTCCAATGTCTGTGAAGTGATGCTGTTTGTTAAGTGTGTGACTGAAAGTGTCGGAAGCGTTGTGGTCATTGGTCCTCTTTCCAGTGGAAGAAGACCATTTTGGAGCCATAGCTACGTGCTCAATCCGTTTTCTAAACACCTCTGGTGGAAGGCTGGAAGCAAAATCAAACGCTCCAGCCTTGCACCAACATGTCGAGTCACACCTGCAGGGCTCTCAAATTCCGGCACTGCCGCGCCCCCAACAAGTCCAAAAAGCCTGATGATAGGGGTGGAGAAAAAGATCAAGCAACTTGAAGCTCAGGAACCAGGGGTGAGCCCTTTTCAACGTTTGACATAGTACTCAGGAGGTGTTCCACAATGCGCAAGTTACCTTGGCCAACTTGAAGTCCACCCAGAAATGCGCCAGAATGCAATCCTTTCATGGACCAATGGACAACAGTATTCTGTTGATGGAAAACTCAAAGGAGATTGACCCGAACCAACTCCTTACAAACCAATTGCTAGGGGGAAAGGGTGGGCTGGGCCTGCTTTTGGTAGACTTCTAAGCTGTCTTACCTCCAATCCAGCCAAATCAGCCCCAGAAGGTCGGCACCCGAGGGCGAAGAGAGTCCCAGTGCTCCGGTGGTCCAAGCCACTGAAGGCATCGGGCAGCAAACCGCAGGCTCTGAGGCGGCCTCAGATCTCGGCCGTGAGACCCTTGGGCGACCCACACGGCAGATGTGTGGTTCCAAGAAACACATGACCCGCCAAGGATGCGGATGCCAGTGGTACTAGTAGGACATGCACTTGTGACTGATGTTGGAATGTGCGTGCGTCATCTTGTGTCCTGCTTGCTTTCGATGCAATCACTATGTACAACTATTCACTTTGAGTCTGTCAAGTGGTTCTTCAGCCTCTATTACTATTACCTATAATCTACACACACATGATCAAACATGTGCCTTCTCAACTGGCTGGTGGCTCCGTTCTTCTTCTGGATCGCTTCCAATAGTTTTCAGCCGGTGGAGGATTTGTTCATCAACCATCTCTCACTGAAAACCAACCCTTGCTGAGAGTGGCGGGCGAACCCGCCAGGCTGTACCCATCACCCAGAGCTAGATGGAATGGATCAGAACCATACTCTTCTCCTTCCAAAGTCTCTGGAAATCGACCATCCACTCCTTCCGCAGAAACTGGTCCTCTGTGTTCGGATCACGCCAAGTCCGAAAACCCCCGCAAGTCGCTGGGGTCGCGGCCCAACACGCTCACCGCCGACGCCCACTGCGGAACGGGGCCGAAGGCCTCGGAGGCGAAGGCGAAGAAGGCGAACTCGCCGTTCGGCCCGACGAGCCGGTTCTGGCCGCAGAACCGAATGGCTGGAACCTCCAATTGAGATGGAACCATGAAACATCGGCTGAAGATCTTGAGAGCCTTGTTTGATTGGATTAGAAGACTTTGAGAAAGAGCTGACCACCTAGCCACCTAGCCAACAACGGAGCAACTTGGATCTCCTTCCTTCCCCAAAAACGCACCCAGCGTATACTGCGACATCCAGTGTTTCACCCAGAACGTGAAATGCCAGGCTGCGCTTAGCACCACGTTGTAGTGGATGAGGTTCACCTGCAGCCTGCGAGAGGTGGAGGCAGAAGTACACTGCAAGCCCACCACGAGGGTCAGTCTTGAACACTCTCTTTGAGGCAACTCTACGAGACTTGATGAGATTTGTTCTTTCGTCGAGCGAGCCGCCGTTTATGACTTGTGTCTTGCACTGTCCCGTTGTGATGTTCACCTTGCGGTTCTCAGTCCTCAGTGAGAGGCAATGCTACAATTGCAAGAAGGTCTTGGGATAGAGTCTGTTTCACAACTCGTAAACTGTTCTGTTGCTCACAGGGATCTTATCAAAGTCAATGTCACATATGGCAACGACCCTTTCGATGTCGGCACGACCGGGATGTGTCAAACGCCGGAAATGGGTCGCGTCAAGGCTGTCTGATGAACCAAGCACAGAACAGTAACATGGCTCCCCATCATACACTTCAGGCTTCTGGATGCCACACGGAATCCTTCAAAGAACCTAGACCTAGCACCTCAAGCAAACTGCACCAATCCTGCTTGCTTTCTGCTTCCTGGTTTGACCAATTTGCGGACTACCTGGAACACCTACCACAGCTGTTTGCAGGGTGATTGTGTGCATATCAAGACCAGCGGATCAAGATTCCTGAGGCAAGTACGCAAAAAAGCATCCATTCTACTTGCTGGTGGCCTTGATCCTCGAAACCCAAACGCAAAGAACACAACCCAGGCAGTGTCTGTGACGATCCCTCAGCCTCAGTAAGATACTGACCATCCATCCTGACGCGGCCCAAAAGAAAGTAAAGCGCCTGGCGATGCTCATCGCCTGGAGCATCTCCTGTGCCACATCCTCAGGGCGCAGGTCGAAGCTGCGCATGTGTGCTTCAGAGGTCATCAATGAGTCAAGAGAGATCAGAGGATCTGAGGATGCCTTTGGCCGTAGTGTTGATATTCGGGCATCGACTACACATGCAAGTGGCTCACTCCAAAGTTCCAAAGTCCGACTTTGGGACTCACATAGAGCGATTGCAGTCCAGTCCATCCAACTTGAGAGATTGCAGGCTAGTGGCGGGTCGTCCAGACCTGCCGCCACAAGCAATGTGAGTTTGTTCATCTTTGTTCCCCCCCTTTCAGGGTTTGATTGGAGAAACCTCTTATTTCGTGGGTTTGAGTCAGTGCGTGTGTGACGTGTGTGTTTTAATCAAGACTCCGTGGAGACTCCGCTTGAGGGTCAAAGTTTTATTCGAAAACTAAAAGGTGTTCTTCGGAAACTTTACGGTGTTCTTCGGAAACTTATCTTCGGCAACTCAAAAGTTATCTTCGGAAACTTTAAGGTTTTCTTCGGAAACTAGTCTTCGGAAACTAATCTTCGGAAACTCTACTGTTTTCTTCAGAAACTAATGTTCGGAAACTACGAAGAGTCGAAGAGCAACATCAAGTCTGCACAAAAAAGTGTCTGCAAATCGTAAAATAGGCATATATATATATACTATATACCGTAGCCGTCACAAGGTACGTCAATAACCACCCCCCACCCCCGACCCACCCAGTGCTCCTTCATGCAATTTGTAAAAGTTCTGAAGAATACTTTCTAAAGCATGCAAATAAGTTTCTGAAGATCCGAAATAATTTCTGAAGATCGCGAAATAGCTTCTGAAGATCGCCAAATAGTTTCTGAAGAATTGTTTCTGAAGAGTAGTTGCGGAAGAGTGCCAAATAGTTGCGCAAGAAAAGTTTCAGAAGAATGGAGAGTTGCGGAATAGGACTTTGTTCCCGTTTGTCGGTGCCTGTAGAGGATGCAAGAAACACTTCCCAGCCAGTTGGAAGAACACTTGTCAATCTTGGCTCCTGGTCTTGATGGAAAGAGGTCACTTCAAAGCATACCAAGCTCGTTTTTTACGGCTTCACACAAGAAGCTACTAGGGGCTCCTGGCCCTACTACTAGGAGCAAAGGACGCTACTAGGGGCTCCTGGTATCGCTACTAGGAGCATTCTTGCTTCCAGTAACAAGAAGCTACTAGGAACAAGGGCATCGCTACTAGGAGCAAGGACGCTACAAGGGGCTCCTGGCCGTACTACTAGGAGCATTCTTACTACTAGTAACAATGTTCGCTACTAGGAACAAACACCGGTGGGCTTTCACCCGCCTGGCCCATCTGCCCAATTGCTCGGTGGCATGCGCTGGCGACCAGCGACACACCTGCTGGAAAGCTTTTAAAGTGTCCCCATTGCACTTCCGGTGATTCCCAAAAAGACTGGCAGGACTGTGAGGGCCGTGAGGGCCGTGAGGGCCATGAGGGCATGTGAAAAGTGCTCTGCCATCCTGTTAGTGACAAATGCACTACTGGTCATTGACATTGACACGGATCATGGACCTGTTCAAGACCCATTTCCTCTCCCGCGTGGCCATTTTCTGCGCGCTGAAGAACTCTGGAACTCCGATTCCTTCCTACTCACGTTCGGAAGTGGAACAACCAGAACCGGGTCTTCCAAGAAATCGTCCCAAAACAGGGATCAAATCATTCCCATGCCCCGGAATATGACGCAAAAATGGTCCGAGTCCATGGCCCAAATACCCTCAAGCCCATGGGCTCGGTCTGCCTCCTCCACGCGTGGTCTGCTTTCGCCGCCTGCACGCTTGGTCGGCCGAAGGTGCTGAGCGGATCCATGGGCAGGTTCCCGCTCACCCACGTGAAGTGGAGGCTTGTTTGCCGGCGAAGTAGGGAAAGCACCCCCCCCAATAAGTTTGGCGGTCGAGAAGCCAAGGCAAGATTCTGGAAGCCCGGGTCCACGTTCTGAAGCTGGCAGTGCCGCACCAAGCAAAAGAGTTAGAGGTCGGTAGGTTCTCCGCGCCAAACCGGTTGCACAGATCCCTTGAGTTATGCTAAGCTTCAAGACCCGCTATGTGAACACCTTGACCGCCTTGGCCGTTCAACCCTTTCATCTCCTTTTGACTGACAATAAGTAACCGCTCGTATCAACAAATTATCATTGCTTGATCAACCCAACGTCAAACACCATCAAAGACCTTTGAGTTGATGGAGGGCGAGCATTTCAGCATAACTGCGGCCGCTCCTTAATTGATGTAGCATGCCATGTCACTACTTGCCTTGTCAATACTTGTAGCATGGAACCCTTAAGCCACATCCAAAACCACCACTTGGCAAGACTTGCTCTGGTGAGCTGCGCTCGATTGGTGTCAATCCACCCGCACCAAAACACCCAAAACGGTCCTTGGGAGCACGTCGGCGACTGCGACCGCGTCACACGGACCCGCATCCATGGCGTGCTCAATGCGAGTTGCTCTGCTGGGCCAGGGCCACTTGGGTGAAAAATCCTCCATGGCAGCTTAGCAGCGTGTCATGCGTTTAACCGTGTCTTTTTGGCATGTTCCCTTCTGGAAATCTAGCAGATCCAAACCGCCAGACGTTGGAGTACAGGTTCCAACGAATCTGAGGACGGACCCTTCAGTGGAGACATCCCAGTTCGCTGACCATCTCAACAGCAGAGGTGTGGCTGGAAGCCTACCGCTGGGTGTAGATTTATCCGTTCAACCCAGCCGGCAGCTACTTGTTAGTCGCTTGGGCCATGGCCGTGCAATTCATTCGGCGATTCCGAGCTTGACTTGGCTGTTTGCGCAGCGATGAGCTGCTGGCATCTGAACACCCAAGCAGTCTCTGAGCACCCGAGGCTATCAAACACCCAGGGAACACAAAAACCCTGCAAACGTCAGCAATCATTATTGCTCATTGCATGTGTCCAATGAAAGCCACGAGAAGAGTGAACGCAAGGGCACTGTTCCCAGCCCGCAAAAGCAAGAAAGACCCACTTGAAGGGAAGCAGTCTGCGTCTTCGTCTTCTTCTTCATATTCTTCTTCACTAAAACTAGCATAGAAGCTGATCATAGACTCTTTTTAAATTTGTTCATTGTGTCCTCTACAAACTGATGGGTTTGAGAAGGTTCCACTCACGAGAAGGGTATAATCTTCCTGTTCAAGCTCAGTTGCTCTCCGTAAATCATCCACACCCTGCCCACTGACCTCAAAAAAGCCGGCGCTGGGTGTCCAAACCGCAAAGAGAGTCTCCACTTCGTGCTGCGTGAAGCCCAGGCCTGCGCTCGGCGCGGGCTTGAGTAACCGGAGGCGACGGCAAGGGAGGATGTTTGGCCTTCTTCAGGAAGAAAGTCAAGGAAATGGGTCACGTCAACTGCAGGGCAATGTACTGTATAACCTGATATAGTCTTTCTTAATCTTTCTTATATTACATGTTCTTAAGCTGAGAATAATCCGAGTATCTTGCGTTTGATCCCGTCGCCCGTATCTGGGAGACAGCTCTTAGGTGACAGTGAATCATCACCCTTTTGAAGTAAACTAAACTCTTTTAAGAACAGCGGAATACGAATGTGCGCTCAACCTAGAATACCCATTCTCCCTCACTCCCCTATTCCTGTGGGTTGCGTTCAGGCCTTGAACCCTTGCGGCAGGACCCGGATCCCAGTGAAACGAAAGATTCACTGGAAATAAGGCGGTCAGTCCACAAAGTATATGTTATAGTTATATTCCACCAAAACGCTTGTGAGGGAGAGTGGCTTTGTGATTTGATTCCCTTGTGGGAAAGAATTGCAAGAATTGCCAAAATCTATCTATCTATCTATCCATCCATCCATCTATCTATCTATCTATCTCCCTCCCTCCCTCTCTCTCTCTCTCTCTTTCTCTCCCTCCCTCCCTCCCTCCCTCCCTCCCTGCGTGGTGACTCGCCACGGAAAAACGGAAAAACCATGCTCACCGTCTCCCCTCAAAAGTGCTTCATGTCTCTCTGGCCACCCGCGCTGGCTGGGTGTGCGTGCCCGGAGTCTGATCACGCAGCCGCAGCCAACGGGCCACCTCGGCGGGCGAAACGGGCCGAACTCGCGCGGGATGAGATGTCTCTGAAATACATGATACATCATGATACATCTGTATCATCTGTTCAAGATGCTGGCAACTCGTAGAAAACTTCCGTTTGAGAATGTTTGAGAAGTGAAAAAAACACCTGTGGCTACGATGTGGCTTTTCCGATGGTTGCAGTGCGTCCACTTGACCCATACCTGGCAGGGTTTCCGGTTGGAGTACTCCCACGTCGGTGGCTTCTTACGTCGGTGGCGTCGCTGTGTTTCGTTCCATGGATCGGTGTGTGTGCTGCTGCCATCTTCCTAACCCCTCTAACTCTAAGATGTTCCAATCCCTCTCGTGACCCATGGATAGCTTTATTGCTCCTCCCATCTTTCGGGAAGATTTCATGAGCACCCACGCAATCTGCATGAGTCTCATGCGTCAAGGTCAACTCCCTCTGTTCGAAAAAACCGACTACAGCATGCCGACATCTACAGCTCTTACCTACAGAAATATATGTTTCCCCCACTCCCAGTTTTCGTCCCAGCCGACCTCATGCTTCTTCACCTGACCCTCTGAACCTGGTTGGACCCTGCTGGTGTCCGAACGGTGGCGCTTGGCGTCCGCACCCGTGGCGGTTGGGAGGTGAACCTGGGCGAAACACCCGTGGACCGCTGGCGTCAAAGGTGCGAAGCGCGGATGGAAAGAGGGGCGCCACCCGGACGCGCCGGACGCGCCGGGCCCCTGTTCACGTGTTCCCACTCCCCCCCGACGTTTGGACGTGCCCGGACTGGTCCGAGAATCGACCCCATCGTCCATCCGGAACTCGGGCGCCGCACAAGTATCGATGAAGATCTCGGGACTGGAGCAGCAACAAGTCGTCCCTCCAACGCCTGAAGCGTGACGAGTCCGGTGATCCGAGATGGCGAAAAGAAAAGTCCCATGGAGTTGGGGGGGATCTTCTGGGGCGTTTGGGCGGTTGGGCCAGTGACTTTGAAGTCGCTGACTGTAGCAGAATGAGGATTGGTGTTCTCTCTCTTCAATGGGGCACCCATCAGAATTCCCCAACATTCGCACCACCCCATCCATCCATCCATCCATCCATCGATCCTGATTTTTCTGGAGATCAAAGAAGACACGGGTGGGGTTGGACCCTACCCTTACCAGGAGAGCACAGCGAAAAGAACACCTCTGAGTGGATCTAAGGCTAAGGAAGTTCTCTTCATGGGTGTCCAACCATCCAAACCTTTTCAACTCCTTCAACTTCCTTCCCTCGCCACCCACCCCCGCCCACCCACACACACCGGCGCTCCACCTCAAGGCGTCGGCCCAAAGATCCCGCAGCTCGGTCTCCACCTTCACCTCCCGTTCGCATCGGCTCGCTTCGCAGCGGCTCGTGGTCTTCGGCTCGGTTCGCAGCTCGCAGCTCGGTTTCATCGCGCCAACAGGTGGAAAAACCGGAGACCTCGCACACAGAAACAGCACACGATCGCTTAAAAGTCTTCTGACTCCCAAAAAGGAGGACGGGACATCGCCCCAAACCAATTATTGGAGGATTGGACGTCCCTTCTCCCGTACCACAAAGAACGGCGGCTTGGTTCGCGCTCCGTCACTGCGTCCCTCCCACTGCTTTCGGCCACCGCACCACGCTTTCCGCGAACCACTTCACGTCCTCCAAATCCGTCACGCTCAGCCTCGGCACCGGGGCCCCCATGTTCGGCGACCGGTCCCGACCGGACTGGGTGGACCCCAGTTTCGGAAGCTTACTGCCCCAGCCCCACCCCCCCCCACCCCACCCTGAATGCAAGAGAACGCATCAACTGACCACGCAGGTGGTTGTTCACATCGCCCCCTAGTTTGGGAATAAAAGTTTCTGAGCATGAGGGACAGTAGTTTCTGAATACGACGAAAATAGTTTCTGAATACGACGAAAATAGTTTCTGAATACGACGAAATAGTTTCTGAATACGACGAAATAGTTTCTGAATATGACGAA